TCAGTAGAAGATGCCAACAACAGCGGCATGAACTTGTTGGACCAGTCTGTCATCAAAAAAGGTATGGCGACCCTCTTCTTTCTTGAGGTGTTTCAGATGGAGGGAGGGATTCTTGGAAGGAAACATCATTGGTTTCAGATCAGGATGCGTCTCCACGGGAAAATCGATGCAGGTTGATCAAAGTAGCAACAATGATTCTAAGGCCCCTACCATATAGCTGAATACAATCCCACAATTGCTTTGAACTGGAATATATGGCAATGTGGACTCAGATAACCAATTCAAGGCAGATATTGTGGGATTTCCTGCTTTGATATTCTGGGTTGTATGGCTGTGTGGAAGGGCCCTGGCTGGAGAATATCTCTTCTCTAAAATGTTTTTATAATATTGTCGAAGGCTTTCATGGCCGGAATCACTGGGTTGTTGTAGGTTTTTTCGGGCTATATGGCCATGGTCTAGAGGCATTCTCTCCTGACGTTTCGCCTGCATCTATGGCAAGCATCCTCAGAAGTAGTGAGGTCTGTTGGAACTAGGAAGAAGGGTTTATATATCTGTGGAATGACCAGGGTGAGACAAAGGACTCTTGCCCGAAAAAACCTACAACCCAGTTTTTAAAAAAAAAATTAATAAAACATTTTCCATAAATAATAAAAAGAGGAGGAGAAATCGAATATAGTATTTGGGAAAGGACTGATGAGGGGAGAGAAAGAGAGAGAAAGTAGAAAAAAGGAGGAGGGAGAATAATGCACTTCCAATAATTTTCATTGTGGTTTGTAGTTTTCCTAGAGTCTTATCTAAAATGTTGAAAACCAGAAATGTGTTGGATTTCAGATTGGGTGTGTGTGGGATGCTTGCATTTGCACACTCAATGCATTTTTTGTGCGTGTCAGGAGCAACTTGAGAAACTGCAAGTTGCTTCTGGTGTGAGAGAATTGGCCGTCTGTTACCCTCCTTGTGGGAGTTTTCTCTCATGTCTCCGTATGAGGAGCTGGAGCTGACAGAGGGAGCTCATCCACGCTCTCCCCAGCTATCTCAGAGATGGGACCCAAGTCCAAACACAACATTCATTTCCTTTTCATGTGCACCTTAGACACATAGCCTGAAGATAATTGTATACATTTCAATATGTTTATGCATGAAACAAAGTTTGTGTACAATGAAGCCTCAAAAAGCAATGTTATCACTGGGTTGTTGTAGGTTTTTTTTTCGGGCTGTATGGCCATGGTCTAGAGGCATTCTCTCCTGACTTTTCGCCTGCATCTATGGCAAGCATCCCAGAGGTAGTGAGGTCTGTTGGAACTAGGAAAAAGGGTTTATATATCTGTGGAATGACCAGGTGAGACAAAGGACTCTTGTCTGCTGGAGCTAGGTGTGAATGTTTCAACTGACCATCTTGATTAGCATACAATGTGCCTGGAGCAAACTTGCCTGGAGCAGATGTTATCACTCTCTCAGCCCAATTTCAAATTTGGGAAAACTCCCCAAAATATAGAAGAGCATCCAAAAATACAAACACTGATAGAGCATGAAGTGATGTGGCTGCAAAGACTTTAGTGCTTAGGAAGCCAAGATGCAGAGTTCCATCTTTAAAGTTACAAAAGGTTTATTGACAAAAACAATCTACAGTATATTCTGGCGTATAAGACTACTTTTTAACCCAAGAAAATCTTCTCAAAAGTCAGGGGTCGTCTTTTACGCGGGTGTAGTCTTATGCATGGGAGTCGTCTTAACTCTATATTTTAACTGGAAAAGTTGGGGGTCGTCTTATACACCCAGTCGTCTTATATGCCGGAATATACGGTATATAAATACAAATGTAATGTTAGTTTGTGGGATTAACAGAACTCAAAAACCACTGTGCGAATTGACACCAAATTTGGACACAAGACACCTACTAACCCAAGGAGTGACCATCACTCAAAAAAATTGAGTTTGTCATTTGGGAGTTGTAGTTGCTGGGATTTATAGTTAACCTACAATCAAAGAGCATTCTGAACTCCACCAATGATGGAATTGAACCAAATGTGGCACATAGGATTCCCATGACCAACAGAAAATACTAGAAGGGTTTGGTGGGCATTGACGTTGAGTTTGGGAGTTGTAGTACACCTACATCCAGAGAGCACTGATGATGGGTCTGGACCAAACTTGGCACGAATATTCCATATGCCCAACTATATGGGGGGAAATAGACCTTGACATTTGGGAGTTGTAATTACTGGGATTTATAGTTCACCTATAATCAAATAGCATTCTGAACCCCTCAAATGATAGAATTGGGGCAAACTTCCCACAAAGAACCCCTATGACCAACAGAAAATACTTAAGGCCATCCAGTCCAACTCCCTTCACCAGGGCAAGAAAACGTAAATAAATACTGTTTACCCACAAGCATCAAGAAATTACATATATTAGAAAACAACACTTTCTCCTTACTTTATTTTCCAGATCATCAGACTGGGTCACAGGAAAGTGTGGCAGGGGATGGCTAGTGATTCATATGATCGAATCCAGAGAATAGGGCAGGGTAGATCCAGCCTGAAGGCCTTTCCTCATAGCCATATAATCCAGAATATCAAGGCAGAAAATCCCACAATATCTGCTTTGAACTGGCTTGTCTGAGTCCATGCTGCCGTATATTCCAATTCCAATTTCTCCCCCACAAACAATTTGCTCCATCCCTGTCTCATCCTGATTATTTTTAGTGTCTTAGTTTTTATCTTGCACATGTGGCCAGCTCATTGTTATGTTATGTTATGTTATGTTATGTTATGTTATGTTATGTTATGTTATGTTATTATTTTATTTTATTTTATTTTATTTTATTTTATTTTATTTTATTTTATTTTATTTTATTTTATTTTATTTTATTTTATTTTATTTTATTTTACTGTGTATGATTTTGCTTTATCGTCTTTGTACTCATATGTTGTATGTATTTTATTGTGTTGCTATTGTGTTTTGGTTATACTTCATTGTAATATGCTGTTGGGCTTGGCTTCATTGGGGAGTCCCCATTAGGGAGATGGTAGCGGAGTATTAAATACATCATCATTATTATTATTATTATTATTATTATTATTATTATTATTATTATTATTATTAAGTATATAATGTGGGATTTTATTCAGTTGTGTGAAAGTGGCCTCAGAGAGCAATGGTGGCCAAACTATCAACCTTTTTTTTTTTTGGGGGGGGGGGGGGTCCCACACAGCCCCTTGATATCCCAGAATATCAAGGCAAAAAAAAATCCCACATTATCTGAGTGTGGACTCAAATAATCCAGTTCAAATAAGATATTGTGGGATTTTCTGCCTTGCTGTTCTGGGATACAGGGCTGTGTGGAAGGGTTGTGTATTACAAAGTATGCTTCTAGGGCGCTGAGAGTGTTGCATGGCCAGTGTGGTGGTATTATGGGATGGAACCATGCCTGCGACATAGAGCTACAGTCCATTTGTGAATCTCATGAGTGTATTGCCTTGTGGCTCGTCTTTAATTGGGGCGGGGGAGGGTGGAAGAAGAGTCCTTAGTGGTTGGGACGTAGGGACCCTCTGGACACGTGTCTTCGGGACGTAGGGACCTCTGGACACGTGTCTTTGCTGTCAACTGCTCGACCAATCGGGCGAGACAATGCGTGTCGGATTCCCGCGTGTAGAGGTGTGTGAGGCGGGGGAAACGGGGGGGGGCTCTTGGGACCCCCCACGCTCCATTGTGTCTACACGTGCGTACATGATTGAGTGTTAAGTGCCGCCTCGCCCCATACTGGTAGAGGGAATGCGATATTAACAAATGTTTGCAATCTCGTGTACAGCTGTAAGCAAAATAATTAACTAATTAAACTAATTAAATGTAATTACAATAACTCATTTTGGGCGTATTGCAGCTGCTTCCCCCCCCCCCCCGCCTTCCCCTCCTCCCCTTCTGAATGTCTCTGACAGGCTCTGAAAGACGTGGGGTGAGATATGAAAGGGACCCCACGCCACCAACACGCGGGGAATGGGTGTGGGGAGCGGCGCCTTTAATTCCCAAGGAGCCCCCCATTCTAGATCGGGTGCTAAACTGGCAAAGGTTAGGGTGGCCTCCCTGCATCCTAAGCCAGTGTCCCTGAAGCACGAGAAGTAAAGCCAGAGTCCCTGAAGCAGGAGAAGCAAAGGCTTCCAGAGCAGCTCTTATGGATCATCAATTTCCACTGATATAGGCATAGATAGATGATAGATAGATAGATAGATAGATAGATAGATAGATAGATAGATAGATAGATAGATAGTAGGTCTGTTCAATGCATGGTTCTAAATGGTTCTAAAGTACTTACAAAACTAAAGTTCTGGTGGTGAAAATATCAGAACTCTAACAAAACTCTCAAAATTTCATTATAAATGGCAGTTCCTAATTGGTTCTGTCATAAATACCGCCAAAAATGAAATAATAATTAAATTTTGAAAAAATTCTGAAATTTTCACCAAATTTTCTACTTCTTTAGAACCATGCACTGAACATTCCGAATAGATAGATTTTTCGGGCTATATGGCCATGTCCTAGAAGCATTCCTTCCGACGTTTCGCCTGCATCTATGGCAAGCATCCTGAGTTAGGCTTTGAAGCTGCAAGGCCATTCAATGCTAATCAAGGTGGCCAATTGCACCTTTCACATTTGCCTCAGGCAGGCAAGCATTCTTTCTCCCACCACAGATATATAAACCCCATTTTCCTACTTTCCAACAGACCTCACTACCTTTGAGGATGCTTGTCATAGATACAGGCGAAACGTCAGGAGGGAATGCTGCTGGAACATGGCCATTTGGCCCACATGGGGGTTCTGTGTGGGAGGTTTGGCCCAATTCTATCATTGGTGGGGTTCGGAATGCTCTCTGATTGTAGATGAACTATAAATCCCAGCAACTACAACTCCCAAATGTCAAGATTCTGTTTCCCCCAAATTCCACCAGTGTTCTACATGAGTATTCATGTAGAGTTTGGTCCAGATCCATCATTGTTTGAGTCCACAATGATCTCTGGATGTAGGTAAACTACAACTCCAAAACCAAAGGACACTGCCCACCAA